GGTTCCTCGTCATCGAAGTTAGTAAGAATGATAATAATGACTGATCAATTGACAAACAAACAAACAAAAATATCATGCTTATGATCTGGACTTGTCAATGAAATGACCCGAGGTTCCTTTTTTCAAATTCTTGTGTCTTTAGCTCTATATTGTTGAATAATCTCGCTATACAAATACTCTCTCACTAAAGTTGCTGTGGTGTAATCATACAGCCATAAAGCACTGTTAAATAGTTGAAAAATCAATATGAATCAAACATATATGCGTTTACCATATCACCATAACGTCACGGCTCGGTTCTTTAGCAACATGACCTTATAAAGTACCCCACTTACCCTGTAGAACAAATCAATTTTTTTTCAACATATGTATATATGAATAGTCCTCCTCTTACATAATTATATAGTACCAATATGTTATCAACGTTTGGTTGATAAGAGTTTGAAATCAGTCTTATAGAAGAAACTTGTGCACATTTCTATCAGTACTTGACAGGTATGGTATCTGAGATAAAAGAAGCTTAACAAATAAGTTTACAAGATTAATCCATTATGGCTGTTAGCATGTATAATTGTAAATTACAGTTTCTGCTTTGTCTTATAAAGGCTCAAATTTTCAGAAAAAAATATAATAAAAAATCATTTTTTAGTTGTTCCTTAGGCCAATAAGCAAAAATCTCCAATTCTAACAAACATTTAAGAAAATCCATGTAACCGTCAAATTAAGATCCTTAATCAGACTCATAAAGATAAGAAGTAATTTACGGAATTTTAAATTGTTCCGAATATCATAGTTATATAGTTGGATTAGAAACAATTCACAAGACACTAGAGATGATTAATCATTTGCAGAAACAAAATACTGTTCTTTCTTATGGTAAACAGCTATAATTTAAAAGTCCAAGCAACTCTTTCAGTAATCTTGGAAACGTACCAAACTTGTGTTCAACTTTTCAAATTATCATGAAGGAGAAAGAAAAGTACCAATAGATTTCTAAGAAATATAAAAAAATTAAATTTTTGTGGAAAAAGAAACGATAAAGCAATTCGTATAATTACTTTTTTTAAGCATGACAGTGTAAGCGAACTAAATGCTTTGGAAATGAGGTTTGCTAATAAGAATTTGGTAATATATCAGTTGACAATTGAACAAAGAAGTAATTAATATAAATATGTGAGGGGTGCCAAATGAGTCGTTCTATGAGATTTAGTCTTTGGCTTCTTTTTTAAAAAAACAAAACACCAAAAACAATATCAAACACAAATGGTAAAAATTACAGTCTAACCGTAGGTGTAGTAGTTTGTTTGCCATAAGTTTGTTTGCCACACAATGGACTATCTAAACCCGATTTTTAGCGCTATAAGTCCTCACATTTACTGCTGAGCCACTTGGGTGGGGCTGTCTCATAAGAATTGTGCTTAGAATTCAGTGACGATGCAACAGAGGGGGAGGATGAAAGTAAGTTCATATGAATTTCTCTTCCCATTAAAAGAAACAAACGAAACAGTGTGTAGCTAATTGATTACCAAAGGAAAAATAAAGCATAATTATCCAGACAGTTGGTTAAATTATATTAGATTGATTTTTAATACTGAAATCACCAAATCACGTGAAAAACCACACCACATATATATAAACTAAATTTTGAGTGTTTGGCGTTTTGTACTTATGTGATGTTACATAAAATGGATCGCTTTTGGGAAGGGTATGTAACAGTAATTTCCAACGCAAAGTACTCAAATAATTAGATCATAAAAATGTGTTCAGATATGGGACTTAGAATGTCCAAGACGAAGACATCCTTTGTACTTAATGGAATGGAAAACAAAAGAATAAAGATCAACTGGGGGAATCAGGACCACACAGAATGAGACCCGTAATAAGTCTTACCCAAACCATGGAAACACGTTAGAATCCACGAACACAAAGGTCAGTGACAAAAGCCATACACGTGTCCCAGACATAATTATGCAACATAATCAAGAAAGATCTCCATCTGAAAAAGCGAAACAAGTCACGTGTACACAAGTTGTTTCCGCGACATCCATTCAAACAACTAGAGTGTGAAACGAACATTAATGATGTTCCATACGAAGACATACCGATAAAGTCGTTGGGCACAGTGCTTACGGATTTATATGTGATTGGACTGTTGAAACGAGTGCTGGGAAACCGTCGTCCTCGTACTTTAAAGGGGTGATGGGTAGCCTGCAGGGAGGAGTACTGTACTTTGGACTCGACAGTCTTACGACGAAGATTTTTGCAATGGAAACTACGTTACACGGCTATTGTGAAGTTGCACAGTCGAGAGAAAGAGAGAGAGAGAGAACATGAATGTACGTAACGATATGGACGGTAACAACGTGGTGATGCTCCAAAACCGTTTTAATATAACTTACTCAACCACTATATTTGATACATTATATCCAGACATACCTATTATAAAGATTTTATGGATTTTTTTATTCAATTTTGAGAAGACTAGACATAATTATATTTATAGAATGTTCTAAAGGTACAAATTGTTGTGATTAGAAGTAGTTAACTGACGAATAAATGCAGCTGAGCTAATAAGTAAGGTTTAGAGCTGTTAGGCTTCTGAGCTATTAGCTCTGTGTAAACTCCTAATTAGATATGTTTAGTATCATTACGTATTGTCATTAGCCCTAATTATCTAGCTATTTTCCAGTAGTCTCTAAGCATTTGAACAAACATGAATCAAAAACAGAAAACAAATATACTTTTTTTCGTTTCAGTATTCTAATGACGTGATAATAAGACTGCTTATATAAATTACAAAATTTCGAGATATAAATAAGCCGCCTTATATTGAAACGGTTTGTGTTATTAAGAAAACCCGCATACCTACCGACACAAATATATACGTATACATGCTATGTCTTTATATTATTTGTAAATTATAAATAGAGTTCTTACCTAGCTGGCTTTTGATCAGGAGTATCACCTAGAAAGAAAAAAATATATATATATACAAACACATGAATTTACAGTATTTTTTGAACTACACATGCACATAGCATTTAAAATAAAACTGTTAATCTTTGAACTGTAATGTTTACTACTGTTTTAAGTGCGTATGGGATTCCTATAAGGAATTATAACGACGAAGAAGTGTCAGTATATGGTGTTAGTGTTAATATATAGTATATTTTTTATATAAAAAGAAAGACTAAATTTGAATCCTAAAATAATAAACTTTTGAGAAAGTAGTAAAACCTCTCTTTCGTTAACGTCTTTGATATATTTAAAAAAAAGAAAGAAACAGTGTTTTCATGTAATGCGGAGTTAAAGAGATTTAGGTGTATTTACTATTCTGATCTGTACTCGTGCTCCATTTATATTAATTTGTTTACTATCAATTCCAAAATAGAAATGTTAGGGATTTATAAGTATTTCTCTGAGCTTTTTAAAAACTTAAGGATCTCTCCAGTACCAAAGAAATCCTACACTAAGACGTTTTCTTCCTACAGCAAAGCTCCCTCAGTTTGTAAAATGAAAGTTGTTGTTGTTTTTTAGCGCGAAGCTACACAATGGGCTATCTGCGATCTGTCCACCACGGGAAATCGAATCCCAGATTTTAGCACTTTAAGTCCGTAAACGTACCGTTGACCCGCTGGGGAATGTCAATAAAATTTAGAATATAGTACCCATAAAATGAACATTTCGGTAGAGTTCAGTTATCTAGTTAGTTCCACGTTATCATTTTAAATGTTTGAAACTCTTTCTTGAAATTAAAAAACACAATTTTTGAAATGAATCTACAAACTTTCAGCAAAGTGTGTAACTGAGAAATAAACAAAAAGTCCTATCTCATATAAGCAACATAATACAATTTTATGAAACCACAGTGAATCCACTCCATTACACCTTAAGACGGTTTATACACTGATAGTAGGTCAAAGTAGCCATATAAAGTAGTAATTCTGCGCATAGTAGTATGTCTGCAGACTAATACCACTAGAAACCGGATTTCGATACCTATAGCCCTTTGTGTAACTTTGTGCTTAGTAACAAACAACAACAACATCTTAAAAACGAAAGGTAGCTGTGCCCTATTTAAGTCTTACAAACTCTAACTGCATAAAAACTTCGTTCTTCGTGTTTTTTAGATGAAATACGTCATAATTTAAGAATTATTAAGTAAAACCAAGTAGAGTCTGAATTCAATAGAAATAATAAAATGAACATTTCAGAAGAAATAATTTTTATTTTAATCAACATGTAAAGCTAATTTATAAGTGTTGTAACAATTAAATGTTTCAATTTTTTCATTTGTATGACTACCAACATAAGACATCCATGTTTCCTCAATCAAAAAAAGAAGAACAACGCATTGTCATTGTCTAAAAGAACTGCGTGCTATTAGCCTTTCTAACGTTGTTTATTGCATATACGGTCGTTTTTGTGGTGTGTAAAACATTTGACAACATACACATTTTTATAGCGATTTTGATACAGATAATATACTCAGTCTACAACTCAAGCAAATGAAAAATCTAGGGTGTTTGGGATTTATTAGGCCCAACGACAAAATCAATGTCGGAAACATTTCTCGCTCTAAACCAACAGGCTAAACAAGATGAGCAGCTGGATTGTTTAAATTAATTGTATTCTTACTGATAACTTGGTCAAAAATAACGGATCATATATGATAAGCAGCTTGGCTGTTTCAAGAAACAGTAATCTTGCTAAAAATTGGAAGAAAAAAATTTATAAACTTTCACTTTTCCAGCTTTTAGAAAAATAATTACTATTTGCCTTACGAAAACTTAAACTTTTGAATATCTCGCATTTTTTAAAATAATACGAGTAATGCTGTTTTTGTTTTATTTTTAATGTCGGTTTTGAAATACACAAATGAAAGGGAAACTATTTTTTGTGTTAAGTGCACTTGAAGAAAATTGGCAAGCCATTAAAGTTTTAAAATGACAGAATAAATTGGACTTTTCCAGTAATATGATGGGCAAATTAAGCAAAAAACATATTTGTAGCAAAGAAAGCATAATACATTAGACTGGTAGGAAGCATGATTACATTATGACGTCCTTGATTTCCCGAGTTTATTTGGAAAACAGCAAGCACAAACATATAGTAACTTGATATCACTGCACTAAAGCAAAAATATAGAAACAACGTTCTGGATTAAATGCACAAATAATTTTCAGACAGATCTTTTCAGAGCTCGCCTTTCACTCTTCTAGTACTCTTTAGTAGGAGTGAGCAAGTCGTGGTAAGTCCATAAAATGATGTAACAACAAGGAAATCTGTCTAGTCTAAACTAAAATCTTTTGTAGCGTAACAATTTCCTTGGTGTAGAACAACCTTTATCAAATAATATCTAATAACACTTTTCCTTGTGTAGAAGCTTCGTTAGGGAAAATATCTAAAAGTGTTATTAAGGGCATTTATGGTGATACTGAAGCCAATCAAAAATAGAAAATTTTATGAACCTCGCCAATTGCACCTAAGCGTTCCTCCAGTCATTTTATCAACAGGGGACGCGGAGAATCTACTTCATTACAGTGAAGATGCATATGGAATTATAGGACTTATTCCCTGAAGAGCAGATATATGGAACACACAAGGTTGTTGCTATGCAACCAAACCCACACACATGAGGACCACTTAATGACGCAACAAAGTTATTTAGGGCAAAGAAAATCGAATATTCTGGTATTTAGCTTCGAAAACGTTGACAGTAAACATTGAAAGAAGATTATGGAGAGCCTTCGCTTTGCATCAAACTTAAACTTCTCTTGTAGAATTATTGACAAAAATATATTACAACTAGCAATTAGGCTTCGAAGAATGTGTCTAAAAAGTAAGAAAGACTCATTACGTAACTTATAAAGGTATTTATTTTTATGAACTTTTAAAGACTCAATCCAAATACACCTTAGTGTGATAATCTTGGATTCCGCTCTCGAATTTCTAACGACATTTCCTTATTGTAAACTAGGAGTTCCTAATTTTTAGTAAGCTTTACTAAACATTCATATTAACTTTGTGTCCCCAACGTTTTAGTAAGTTTTACTAAACATTCATATTAACTTTGTGTCCCCAACGTTTTAGTAAGCTTTACTAAACATTCATATTAACTTTGTGTTCCCAATCTTTTAGTAAGCTCTACTGAACATTCATATTAATTTTCTGGGCCCAACCTTTTAGTAAGCTCTGCTAAATATTCATATTAACTTTTCTGGCCCCAACTTTTTAGTCCTTCAAGCCCTAGTAGGCAATAAGCATCTCCAATGGATAACTGTCACCGAATTCATTATTAGTAAATTATATTTCCTTCTGTTTTGTATTTTTGTTTCTATTGAGATTAACATTATTTTTCCTTATCAGGTATTCCCAAGTCTAATTTTTTGCAGCAGAAAACTTAAAAGTTTCACAGTGGGCAATTTATTAATTTTTTTATATTAAAACTAATTAAATATCGTATTTCCGGTTCACTGTTGTAATTACTGATTAAATATATTTTATTTCCGGTTCACTAGTGTAAATTACCTTTCAAACTCATATTTTGTTCGAAAATTGGTTCTTTCTGGAGCTTTACTGTTAAGTAGCTACAGTAAGGTTGCAAGAATCGAACATCAATATTTGTCATGATGATTATCCAACACGTCCACCTAAGTCTATTTATAAGTTACTCCTTTATTTTACTAAATATTAGTTAGAGTTATTCAAAGTTTCGGATAAATATTAATAAATATATATAAAGAAAAGCACAAACACACAGTCATATGTAAAAGGTCTCTCAGAAAATAATATAGAAGAACACATAACAGCAGAGTATTCAGTAGCCACAATACGATGAATACACACTAAACCACCTAATGACCCAATGGAGACAGAAAACAATAACAAAACAATAGCACCATTTACAACATGCACTGTGAATGTAGATTTCAATAAATTGCAGAAAGAATAGGATATTAAAACGAACATCAGAAGATAGAATTCAGGAATATTATAAATATATAAGACTCTGCAATACCCACCCTATATTTAATAGACCATTGTGCCATAGAATTAGACCATACACTGAACTGGAATAATACTAAAACAGTAGGGTATAAACCACGCATGAGAAACATAAAGATAAAATAAGATTTCTACATCCACCTAACTGATAACACATTCGGCCAACCTAGCATAGAAGTCAGCAAAACCTGGATAGTCTTCTTCAAAGCATCCAAATGATTGATCCAAGTCCTAATACGAGGACGCATGGATAAGACACTAGCTTTCCTCATCAAAAGAACTAGGATCGAATCCTGTATACTACCCACATACATATTCACAATTTTTCTGAGTACTTCTTTGAAGACGGCAGCAGATTAAAGATGGAAAAACTAAAGATAGAAACTAATTAGTAGTGAATAATTATATTTGATCGTATAAGCTATTAACCTTGACAACAAAAGAATACTGTTGACTCAAATATAGTTAATTAGAAAAGTTATCCAATTGCAACTGGTTTGGAAATTTCGTTGCTAATAATAAATCTGTCATGATAATAAGGTTGATAACAAGTTTCTTGAAATATTTCTTTACTAACTCTATGCTACGGGTTTACAGTAAGAAGAAGCGGAACTCCATCATTACCTCACACTTTGTACTCCATACACCACTGCCGACAAAACCTTTCGCTCAAAACCAAAACTCATCAGGTCGACTGGGAATGCAATACACAAAGTTTCGGTCTAATAAACCGTAAACAAATACACTTCCAATGGGTTCACGTCAATTGCTTGTCTTACACACTCACACTAATATACATATATATGTGTGTGTGTGTGTGATTGTGTCTATTGTATAGCTTACCTTTACCCTCTTCATAGCCTCTCATCCGGATGATCACTATGACGATGATAGTGACAAGAACAAGGGATCCTACGGTTCCTATCACAATTCCAAGTAGAGGGCTGAGTAGCAAACTGGGCGTCGCTCCTGACATATGCCAACAAAAAATTAAGATATATAAATATCTGTTTGTATATGAAACAATAAGAACGTGAACAACAGGAATGAGTTTTTGGAAAAAAAAATGTTTGAGGAAAAAAAAGCAGGTTTCAGTAACTTGAGCTCGTGATAAATATCTAGCGCTTTAGCTTACAGGTTTGTAATATGGCAAGTCTCTTGAGGTCTTTCTGTTCTTGCAGGTTTCAGTAACTTGAGCTCGTGATAAATATCTAGCGCTTTAGCTTACAGGTTTGTAATATGGCAAGTCTCTTGAGATCTTTCTGTTCTTGCACTATCATTATCTGAATTGTGTTGTTGTTGTTGTTGTTTTATCAATTTCCTCCATCACTTCTGGAGGATTACAGGTTAGCTGAAGTGAAGACATGCCAGTAAGGCGAAATATTATTCAAGAACTGCTTTTCTTAAAACTTATGATCTTAAAACTAAACCAAACAGGGATTATCTAAGAGAGATAAAATTGTTTCTGTTTCGAAAATCGAAGCAAACCACCTGGTAGACTGTCTATCGAATGTTGGTAGCTGTAGTGGAATAATTAAGTATTTAAAATCAACCAGCTTAATGTCAATAGGTTTAATAGACTCTCCGTCGAATGTTGGTAGCTGCAGTGGAACAATTAAGTATTTAAAATCAAACAGCTTAATGTCAGTAGGTTTAACTACACTTCACTATCACGATTTTCCAGGCAGTGTTGTCGACTAAGTGACTGAACCTTTAGAAACTTCAAATCATCATTGAGTAACAATGATTTGTTACACCCTTTTGAATAAACTGTATATAATGCTTAATATTTATAGTATATATATATATTCCACTTCATGTGTATATTAACGTTACATGACACCATTTTTTATATCTCTTCTATATTTTGATAAGTATTGGAAACTTCCTGTTTTTAGATTCAAGATGTAAGAACGTTAATTGGTTTATTACTCATATATCTTGTAGTATTTGAGTAATAAAAGTGATACACCATTTAATTCATAAATATTTATTATTCAAAAACAATGATATTTTGCTACATATTCCGACCATCATCAGGCAGAATGTAAATAGTCGAGACAACTGGTTCCTATAACACGTGGTGCATGTTAATTTCAAATTAACCTTATACTTAAATGGAATAACAGCAACAAATATAAGTACACATAACACACACATATATATAGATATGCACTATACATAAGGAAAAATAAACTGTTATTAAATATATGCATGTTGACACAATGTAATCCACGTACAATTGGAGGACTGAAATTCCTGAGCCTTCGTCTTGATTCAAAGAAAAATACTCTTTATTTAATTAATCCCAGCAACTCTCTTACATTCAGTTAAGTGTAATTATTCTGGGAACAAATTAATTTGGCCTCATCACATAGAATAAGGTGGTTACAGTTAGTGACATGTTCTGCTACACGTGATGAAGCGCAGTTTTTGATTTTTACTGAAAGTTTGTGTTCATTAAACGATATCTTAATTTACTAATTATCTAACCAATACAGACGTTGTTTCATTCACACTTTATTTTATAAATTCAGTTTTTGTTCAAAGTCGTTAAATTATTTTTCAGTGAAAAAGAATATTACAAACTTTGTTAAGAGGATTGTAAACGATTTGGCACTTCGTATATCGAAAAACAAGTTTTCAAATTGATTTTAGGGAAATAAGGTAGACAAGTAATTTTATCTTTTTTGTATAAAGAACTGAATGTGTCGTGAGATCAGATAAATTTAGTTTAACAGATTTTCAATGATTATCGGGTCGTATCCTATATTTATGACCGCATGCTTTCGATAGCTGATTTCATTGAAAACACCAATATCGTTGGACGAAATACGAAATGCTCTGTAAGTAAGAGTAATGGAATACATCAACAAGAAAAAGGGTGACGCGAATCGGTATGTGACGGTATAGTGACTGCAAAAGGCTTCAGAAAAACTTACATTTATAGGGAAACATTAGAGTTTCTAGTTACCAAAACATCTAAAAGAATCAAATTTTTACTTGATTCCTTTTCAATTGTAAATTTAATGCTATGATGAGATTGATTAATTGGTGTAAAAAGTCTTTCCCACTTAATGTCACCATAATTCCCTACTACCAACGTATCGTCCACGTATCTCAAACATATTTTTGGTTTAAATGACAACTGAGAAAGAAAAGCGGTTCTAAAATAATCCTTGAAAATGTCACAAAGAAGTGGAGAGAGAGAGAGGAGATTCCACAGATAATCCTTGAATTTCAAAATATAATTTGTTATTTACTTTGAAATAGAAGGATGTAAGATTTCGTCCAGTTTATGATACTGCTAACTTCAAGTGAAAATGAGATTTTGAACTAACCTGTTTTCAATATAGCTAATGGCTTCATTTACCAGGACTGAAGCGAATAAAGATGCAATAACAACATAACGTCATTATTGGATAGTTCTAAAGAGTGGATTTTGTTAACAATGGGTGGTGAAACTTGAAAGTGATTATGTTGTGAGAATAAGAAAGAAAATTTATCAGCTATGAATTTGGTAACGAGATGTGATAAAGAATTAATACCAGAAACAGTCGGGCGATAACGAATATTTTCTTTATGTATTTTAGGTAGTGCATAAAATCGTGAAGGAACATAATTAGATGAAGGCTGGTTAGGGGTTAATGTAATACAATATTTCAAAGTGTTTCTAACTTGTTCATGGTAAGTGTCAGTGGGATGCTTATTTAACAACTTATATGAACCATCTGTTAACAAGTTTTTAACCCATTCATTAACATTGCTCTTAATTACTATGATAATTTAGTTATGACAATGTATTTATTATATCCGAAAGCCTTAATGTCGAACATTACATTTACCATAAGTATAATTGTTGATAGCAAGGCTTGAATACAGAAGCATTACATTTTTAGTCTTTTATGAAAAGAAAAGGCTTTATTTAAATCAGATTTGATAAACGGGATTAGAGTTTCTGCGATGTTAGAAACAAGTGTATTTATAGAAAAATTAATTATTTGTTTAATAACTTTAACTAGCCTTCAGTTATTTGATGATCAGATAATTCTATAACTTTTGGAGGTAGAGCTATCATTATCTTTATTATCGTCTGTAGTCTCCAAAGTAATATGTGATTTAGATAAATGTATTTAATGATGTTGTTTCATTTGAATGGAACGTTAATTTAAAACTGACTGTTGCCTCATTTGTTTTCATTCTGCCTGATGATGACCCGAACAAATGTGGTCGAAACGTGTTGAGAAATACATTTGTTTTTGTAATAATAAATAATTGTAGTTTAAATTGTGTATTACTTTTACTAATTTAATATTTCAAGATACATGAATAAACCAATTAGACTTCCTTAACGAAAACTTCCACTCACGCCCTGAATGTTACTAGCTACCTCAACGAGACAACTGCTAAGCCTAATAGAACTACCTGTTCACGTGACAAGCTAAACTAGTACAGTAGAAATGGAAGTTACTAACTTAAATTAATCCCGTCTGTTAATCTACGAGACAACAAGAATAGTAATAGTCTAATAAAAATTTTAACAATTGATCTTGGAAATTATCCCAGTAGTGTGTAACTTATAATGTAAATTTAGTAAATGTGGACCCTGCTGAAAACAATTGAAATAGTGTAGACTTTGTTGAAAATCAATTAAAATAACAGGACTTTACATATAAAATTACCAAAAATAGACTTGATATTCTTCAATACTAAGAGGTAATATTAATGACATCACTCTTTACAATAAATATATATTTATAGAAATAAAATAAAAACTATGTATAGTCTTTCTAAAACTTTTCTTATAATTTACATCTTAAGGAAACGGATAAATTCCTGTATATCCTATGGTCTTTGAAGACAAACGTTGGGAATTTAGTGAACAAATTACCTTGAACATTACGAAAGAAATTTTATATCTAATCTAAAGTTAGATATTACTTTGGAGACTACAATCATTAATAAAGATAATGAACATATAGTTGTACCTCCAAAAGTTAAAAGAAATTATCCGATCGTCAAATAACCGAGGGCCAGTTGAAATAATTAAGGATTGAATATTTATATGAACAAACTTGCTTTTAACATTGAAGAATGTTTAATACCACTTACTGAGTCTAACCTAGTAGAGTTTCCCTTCATTTAAAACGAAAATAAAATCCGTCTGGATTAAAGCCGCGTCATCAACAACTACACTAATAATCAGAGTAAGCTATGTACTTAGGGCGAAACTTAAAAATCAACCTGGCCAGCAGCATAGCTAATCAAATACACTTTTTTTACGTATTTGCTTATAAAGAGTAGAATCTTTTGTTTCACCAGTTGGATGCCATCGTTATTAACGATATTCTCGGTTATAATCCGAATACCGTTTCAGTTCTAAATACAATCCCAAACTAATAATACACATCAGTCTTTATAACATAAGCATCATAAACAAACGACAAATTATAATAAAATAAAATAAGTTATTTTCGATAAAGTAACTAGTATAAACAATATTATTAATGAAAGGAACAATAAGTAAACAAAATAGCATATCTTATTTAGGGAACCAACAAACACTGTCTTAAGTCATAGTCGTTGATGTATGTAAATCTCACAAAATACGAATTGATTGACCTTAAGGCTCTCAGATAAAATAAATATATGTCATAGAAAAAGTGACAGAGGTAACCAAATTATCATCGTAAACAAGAACCGTTTTAAAGAAGAGATTAACAATTTGTTAATACATGGTTCATATAACTTGTTAGGTAAGTAATCCACTAACACTTACCGTGAACAAGTTAGAAACACTTTGAAATATTGTATTACATTAACCCCTAACCAGCCTTCATCTAATTATGTTCCTTCACGATTTTATGCACTACCTAAAATACATAAAGAAAATATTCGTTATCGCCCGATTGTTTCTGGTATTAATTCTTTATCACATCTCGTTACCAAATTCATAGCTGATAAATTTT